GTGTGTGTGTGTGTGTGTGTGTGTGTGTGTGTGTGTGTGTGTGTGTGTGTGTGTGTGTGTGTGTGTGTGTGTGTGTCCTCAGGTTGTAGACATCAACAGCAACATGTTGCCAACGCTGAGTCAGGGACATCATGCCCTGACGGCCCCCTTCATCTCTCAGTCCTTTGAAGCCCTTTGAGATCCATCCCTGGGTCTTTGAAGCACCAGTTTACATCTTTTTTTGTGAGAGTGTATATTTTATTTTATCAAAGTGTAGTGGTTTGGAAATCGATGCCCAGTCTTAAGTCATACAGCAATTAATGTAAATGTACATAGTGACTACTCGAGAACTGATGTCGAGAGCTGGTTTTGAGACAAATACCGACGTCACTTGAGGTGTATGAAATAATAATGTCCCACTTTCACTGCAGTTTTCTTCTTCTTTTTCTTTCTCCACACTTTTATAAAATGTGTCTAGACTTTAAACGTTGCTGAAGAATTTGTGTCTTCTTGAGGAAGAAGATTATAACAGAGCCTGTTGTAATTTCAATAAACCATTACAGCCCGAGTCCAGTGGCAACAAAAACTACAAAAATGTGATTCTCTTAATTCAGGGATGGTTTATTTGGAAACGTTATTATATTACTTAAACCATTATTGTCTATTTTGTTGTTTTATTAACTAGTAGCATAAGGAAAAACACTTGGTGTGGGTGTCGTTAATAGGCAAAGTAGACAAGGCAAATTTATTTGTATGGAACATAATCATACACATTTCCCAACTGCAGTTGTCCTAATTACCCCCACTGTCACTGACTGCCCCCCCCACCTGACATATTCTTGTTTTTCATACTGTAACCATTGCAGACTTCCCCATTCATATTGCACATTGTACAGATTTGAATTATATTTATATTTTATCATATTTCTTCACATTCTTATTGTAAAAATTCTATTCTCATTTTTTTCTGTTTATATCTAATCTATATGACCTGCAGTACTTTCTTTTATATTTTTTCTTCTTACTATGTTTATTTACACCAAAGCAAATGATTCTGATTCTGCTTCTGGTAATTCAATGTGCCCAACAGAAATAAAAGACGCATTAAAAATGGAGGTAAAAAGCCTCATAAGACAATAATATAAAAATAATGAATAAATGTAGGCAATGGAGGACAGAGCAGTTTTTAGCTTCTTTTTTAAAGCAGAGTAACAGTTTGGGAAGATTTGGTATTCATTGGGAGCTGGTTCCAGCAGTGAGCAGCATCGCAGCTGAAAGTCGAGTACGTAAATTGTGCACAATAACATACATTTTTACATGTAACCAGGTGTAGCCAGGATATACAGAAAAAAGCCATTTAGTATTGGTCTTTTAAACAATAGTTATTTGTTCTACTCAGGATTTAAGGTCAGACCTTTATCAAGATCAACAAACTTTTATTCCTAACTCCTATAACCTCAGCTTTTTAATGTCCGATGACGGTTTGGAGTTTTCAGCCAGTATAAAGACAGTTCTGGACTTCGTTTGTCACCAGTGAAATGTGCACAACAGGAATATTCTTGAGAACTTCATTATGCTCTGATGTGCGCCGCAGCTGTAAACCTTTTACGGCCTTCGAGTAAACGTCACTTCCCACTCATTCATTTTTCTGACGGGGGAACCGGAGTCTTTAGTATTCTGTGCTAGGCTCTGGCAATTTGAGGTGTGTGGACACTGGGAATATATATGTGTATTTTCTTGCTCTTTAAGTCGCATGCTATGAATCAGATTGATGTTCAGCCATAAAACAAGGGGTCCTCTAATGGGAGATTGTTCTCCCTATAATTGCTCTGAGACTGAGTTTTAAGAACTGTCTAGTCTGCAGCTATTCATTCACTTTGATGCGTGTGATAGGCTATCTATTACAGTGGTATATGGACATACAGGGAGGTGAATTTTATTTCATCTAGTCCTCAGTGGGGAAACTGAGACATAGTACGGCCTGCAAGTGTTTGGGCACTGACTTATTTTCTATTGTTTTGGCTCTATACTCCAGCACAATGGATCTGAAATAAAACAATAACCATGAGTTTAAAGTGCTGACTTCCAGCTTTAAGGGTGCTTTAGGGTGTTCACATCCATAGTGAGGTAGCAGAGTAGGATTCTGGGCTTTTCTTTGTACATTTGCCCCAGTTTTAGACCAGTGGAGCAGGGCAGTGATTCTGAGCGTAAACAAGTGTAATGATCTCGATCTTTCTTCCGGAGACCACCACTCTGGGTCGCACGAGATCTGGATTTCCATTTGTGATCTATTCCCACATGTTCTTATACCTGTCAGGGTGTGAAGTACCGGCAGACGAATGTTTCCATTGCCCCAAAGTTGCCAATCATAGGGAGCCTTGTTGCTAATTTACCCCAGTGGCCAGTCGTGGTATTGCAATGAAAAAAAAAATCCCATCTGGCTCAAAAATCATTTTCCCCACCGACCACCGGAGACATCTGTGCAACTATTGACGGTACACCAGGAATTATTACTCTCTGCTTTATACATTTTTAAACCATGATGGTTCATTTGCAAAACTTTCCCAAGAGCACTGGAAAAAGCTATTTTTACACGCACGACGTCACCCCAATGTAAATTTTATGTGCTAAGCAAGGCCGAGCGGGGGCAGGGCCGAGGAGAGAAAAACTAATGGGCCTGTCCAGCGGGCTGTGCAGCGTGGAAGCAAACCGGGAAGCGAGAAAATGTTTTTGGTTAATGTGCAAGAAATGTTAATTCAAATCCTGTCCCTGGTATCCATTTTTTATAATACATCCATGGTCAGCATGAAGGTCAGGGAGAGAGCAGTCGGCTACTTTAAGTTCTTGCAACATATTGGCAAAAAACTGGAGGCAGCTTGAACGTAGAGCTGCATTTAAAAACACAACCTACTCATTAACTTCAGTCGAACCGCGATGAACCGACTGAGGTGTTGTCGGGCAAAACTTTAAACCTGGATCAGTGCAACTTCACCTGTGGTAACTTTCCAGAGTTATAAGATCCAGTCTCATAGTAAACTAACGTGCAACATTTTGGCGTCCTGTAGGTCTTGACCCATAAATTGAGCACTCAACCTGGACGTCCTGGATCATATGTAATTCTTCCTTGGTTCCCGCATTAGGTGATCTCTCTCGCTACTTAAATGAAATAATCTTGACTCAGGGTTCATGTTGTACTTTTTATAATGATTTTTAATCGCATCTCAGTCTTCCTCACCGGTCGGCGTCAAGATTATTTTGCCAAACTACTATGTCTAAGGCCAAGAATACACTTCCACGACCAATGTCTTGCTGCTCTGTAACATGTTGGCATCTCACGCTTGTCAAACAGATGAAGCGTTTTTGGTTTGTTGTGTATATTTCATTTGGGCTGTTTAAATTCTCCCATTTAGAGCATTAACACAATTTCCTCCAGAAATGTGTCTCCATCCGAGGCTCTAATGACAGCTTTGGTTATGTTCTCCTGCTCTGGGGTTGCTTCATTTCACATGCATGATTTCTGCTCCAATGCCCAGGCACAGTGTGCATGTATTATTCAGTATGAACGACTGCTGATAGTTTTGCAGAATATTTCTCTACAGGATGCAGTAACATCAGTAAACGTCTTGAGTTCTGTCTCTGGTCAGATAAGAGGTTGACGCTGTAACAGGACATGAGGGACAGATTGACAAAATAATTTGCCCTGTAAAGTGCGAAACGCAAACACACCCAGTGTTTAACCGACCACGCAGCCATACAGTGACTCAAAACATTAATTATTGCTTTGTACAATGAGGTTTCCAAAAAAGCTGAAGCCTTTGGAGCTCTGTGCTGAATCTCAGTGGCCACTTGAGGAGTTAGTACTGTGGCAACACAAATAAGATGGCAGCAATCCAATTTGTTTTTCTATTTTCTGAGGTGTATTTCACACTTAATTGGCTGGCTATCAGAGCATGCCTGTGAGCCAGACCTGAGGTTGTGTGGGGTTTCCAGACATTCGTATTATAGATATCTTTCTTTTGACTGACTTAATTTCCCAAGGTGCATGGCTGCAGTTTGCCATCCATAAATCCCTTTTCCTGCCAGGTTCTGAGCTAGGATTTTCAGCCCCTCTTTTGCAAGTCTATTTAGAGCAAAGGACTCCTCTAAATGGACTAGAATGTGTTACATTTCAAAATGGAGATGGGTATGGCTACAGTGGGACTAAAGTAGCTTCTCAATCTAACAAAACCTTTCAACGTCTCATTCAGGAATGATGGATACTGCAGTGCAGAGCTGGAATCTTTTTTTTTCTTTCTAAAAGTAAGACTAGGCTGTGAGTAAGTCCAGGCTAAAATCCAACTTTGTTCTCTCAGGAATCAATGACTGCTGCAGCTTTTCGCTTAATATTTCCTAAATGTTTTGAAAAAATCTGCTTGAATACAGCGCCCATAATGCAACGCTAACCAGCTTTTTACAGTTTACATTTCTCCAGAGCCCATTTAATTAGGTCCTAACATAATTTGATCTCATTGTTCCTGCTGGCAGCTCAATAAATTTCATTCTGTGAGCTAACAATGACCCATTCGAGGTCTTATCTCGTCTTTAACAGCTCCCGCATCAATTCAAAATAACGTCATTTTTTTTTTTGAATGACGTGTAAATGGCCCAAACTATGAGTACACCTCAACGTCACGCCTAAATATGATTGTTGAACATCTCATTCCAAACCGTGGGCATTAAGATGCTGCCTCCACTCTTTGCAGCAGCAGTTTGTAGCATTTTGCTCTCATTCAGGCACAAGGGAATTAGCTTTAGCATTGATCTGAATGAAGCTGCTCCATTGAAACAGTGGGGGTGCCGACATCGAACACTCCAGCCAAAAAAAACAAACAAACAAAAAACGCTGCATCTCTGCAAAAAGTTGACTGTAATACGACGTAATCTTGCAATAAACTGTGTCGGCCAATCAAACGCATTCAAGTGCACATTCCCAGGAGATTACTCTGTAACATAAATGCTGTTTCAATGAAAGATGAAATAATGGGAATTCTCCAGAGTAGCAAAATCTTACTGACTGAGTTTAAATGTTTTGCATTTCAATTGGTCCCAGAAGGAACACATCTGTACCAGAAATGTTAAAGATGGTTTGGCACATAGCCTCCTTTTTAAAAACCACCACACTTTAACACATACAAATATTCTTTTACAAATTGAACAAGAACATATAACATGTTAATTACTGAGATTTAAAAGGTCCCAGCAGGTGGATTTTGTTATCTAACAGAGTCCGACTAGCTGTAGCTAAGCTAAACTAAGTTAGTTGCTGAGTGTAGCTTTATATTGACTCTTTCCTGACTCTTGTCAAGTAAGCTGTTTTCCCCAAGATGAGCTGTTTCTTTAAAAGAGCTGGATGCTGTTTAACGAAAGCGTGACATAAACTGGATTGTTTTATTCAGTGATTATTCACTTTGGTTCTAAATTTATTAAAAATTAATCAGAAAGATTTTATTTATTTTTCTATTTACATCATCTATCACTGACTGATGCTTTTGCTCTTTAATAGCAGTGTAGACTAATGGTGTATTTCCCTCAGCTCATTAATTGCAAATGGGTTTTAATATCTCATACATCTTATTCTAATGTATTCATGTCTTTTTCTTTTTTCCCCAGACTTCCAGTGGGTTCAAGGGGATGTTTGTGAAGTGCAGCTCATGGTCTACAACCCCATGCCTTACGAACTTCGAGTGGAGAACATGGTAGGTAAAATGTATTACACCTGAACTTCAAATATACTGTGATAACAGACTTTAAAGGTGCCATGTTTTAGACTTTTCTGGTCTATTATTTGAAGTGTTGATCCATAAGAAGATATATTTGTGTTTTGTTTCTTAAGAAGCAAAAACAATCTCAGTGTAGTTTTACATCTTCTCTCTCAGGCTTCTCTCTGGAGCTGTAGCAACAACAGGTCGGTGAGCCAATCAGAAGAGAGGATTATCTGAGCCTGTCTTCTGATTGGCTCATAGTTTTCTGAGTGATTCAATAAGAATATAGCAGATTTCAGGTAAAACACTCGCAGAAGACAAATCTTGCAAGGTTGGATGGTGGGTCCAGGTGGGCGTGGCTTGGTGACTGCTTTGTTGTGACATCACAAAGTTACAGAAGTCCTGACAGCTGGTTTTAAGGCTCAGTTTCTGAATACAGGCTGTGTGCATTTCTCTGTGGACTGAGGCTTTGATACTTTCACAGTATTAATATAGAACCTAGACCTGCTTAATGATCAAAGGAGACATGGAAACCTTTATTCAAAATGAGACCTTTAAAGTTGAATCAGCAGTTTAAATATGTGATGGATCAGAATTTCTGATTCATTCAGCTTTGTGAGAACAGGACGCTGCTGCAGTACAAACCGTCCCCTCTGCACCCACCTAAGAATCACACCAGGTGAAGTGGCACTGTGTTGTAGTCATCCTTGATCCCTTAAAAGCTTTTTTTTTTTTCTTGACAGCTTAATACTGTAATGATCGTATGAGATGTGAGAACAAACTCTTCTTGCTCCTCACAGTAAGAGAGCTTCACTAGATGCCATTACTTTTATGGTTTCACACACCATCCTGTCAGACCAGATAGGTCTCTATACTGAGGTGAATGTGACGCAGTTCGCTTCCCTTTTCTGTGCAAAATAAAGTTTGAAAAGAGCCATCAGACATCAGGGAGTCCAATTTAATTGTATAGCTTAATAGTTGCTTGGTGACTGCTGCAACATCTATTTCTAATTTATGTACTTTGTCCCTTACCACTCCTTTCCAAACATATATACACACACACACACACACACACACACACACCGGTTGAGCCACTTTATCAGGTTCAAGGGTGCAAAAGATTACCAATTAAATTGCTTTTCTTCCTGCTCACGGCTGTGTCTGTTTATGAATGCAGCGATGTGGGACAGCCTTGAAATGCAAAGCAGTCATCAGGCTCAATAAAAGGCGGGCAGAGAGAGAGGCCTACTTTCAGCTGTTAGATAGCTGCGGCGCACACGGCGTCGCACGCAATGTACTACCCGTCAAAAGTGATGTTGCCTTTAATTATTTGGAAAGTCGAGAACAAATTGCCGTGAAAGTTTTGTGGCAGAGTGTAAATGAAGACAGTGGCCTCTTAACTGCGGTGGCTGTCTCAGAGCTGATGCCAAATAGACTTGGACAGGTCTCGCTGGTTGATTTAGCCGTTCTGCCTCGTCTGATAATGGCACATGCTGTTACAGACGCAGGAAACGCGGGCGACAACCGAGTTTGGAACATCTGGACAGTGTTTAAACCGAAGGAGTAATCAGCAGCCAGTTGTTTATGAGTTAAAGCTCCGGTGAGCTAAATTTGTGTCATCTCACTAGATCACAAAGTTTGGCTGCAATAGAGAAAAGTGTCTGTTTCGTCCTTGTGAAAAAACGATGATAATGATTCAGAACTTAAAAAACAAAACACAAATCTTTTCTAACAAAAAGTAGGAAATAATGTCTCTGAATCCGGACATTAGGTGTTCTTGCTACTCCGGTCACTTTGATACAGACTTGGATAAACTGTTGTGTGAAGTTTAGTCACGTACCCCGTTTCCCCATGCAGCCATTACAAAAGAAGCAAGTGTAAACTGTTTTTGCACATCACAAAAACTCTGAAATAACATTTTCTATTAGCATCATTTGAGCCATTGGTTCCAATAAAAATAAAGAAACATTAAAGAGCCAACATCAATATACGCGGTGTGCAGTGAGCTGGCTGGGAAATTTTCTTCCTTGAATTTTTCGTATTGTTTTTAAAAGATGAATTTGGCAAAATTTATGTCACACAGACCTTAGTGGAGCCTTGTGTGCTTGTGCATTAGTAAAGTATAACACTGGCCTAATAATCATGCCCAAACATTTTGAAGCCTCAAGAACTTTTGAGGTGGTTTAATTTGAATCGGAACGAGTGGGGAACCGTCTCCACTCCATTTTTGCAGCCTTAATGTTCCGGGTATTGGAGTTCAGAGAGGAATATCTGGAGCTGCCAGTTTGCAAAGTCGCCGTGAGGTGATACAATCAAACAGAGGTCAAATAGTGATAAGGATGTCATTAATTCCTCCCCCACCTACAGGTGAATTGATCAGGTCACAGATGGAGGCTGAGGCCTTTAACAGCTCCACAGCAGCTGCGAACCTCAGGTGGTGTTGTAGAGTCATGCAGGTAGAGACAGACAGGGTGACGCAAGCTGCCAAGAGCTCCTCTTCACCCCAGACAAAGTGACCATATATCCGCCGGTATATAAACCAGCTCTCGGCGGCACACCGTGAAACACAAACACACGCACACAAGGTCACTTTACCGTCTTCCGTCACCAAGGTGACCCTGCAGTTTGGCAAGACAGGCGCTGCTTCTCAGTCACCACACGACTTCAGCGCTAATACCCAGCTTTTCTCTGTGCTTTTATCGATTTTCTATTAAAGTGGTGCTTTTTTACCACAACCCCCACCTTTTTATTTTCAGAGGGGTCACTGTCATTGTCTCTGCAAAAACAAGTGAAATGGCAAATGATTCTTTTAGGTTTGTCTTTCATTTACTTATTGTACTGAAAATGATATATATCATTGAATTTTGTTTTTTTTTTGCCAAATTCAATTGATGTTTCTACTTTTTTCTCTGCATGACACTTTGTTACTATCAGACGAGCAGTTATGTGCCAGAACAAAGAAATAATTATAATCAGCAATGGTAATTCTACTATGATCACAGCATTAGTTAAAGCAAAACAAAAGGTTAACTGCATACTTGTTGCACTATGAAATCGATGCACACGAGCTACAACAATACAATTCACTTTCCACATGCTCTAATCGTTATTGTTAATGAAACGGGCTAATTAACCTTTTCAAAGTTGAATGCAAATGAACTATTTCCAATAGGTTAACAGTGATACTTCTGCGAGCCAATAAAGGCGTATAATGTCCTGAAGTGAAAGCAAGGAGAGTTTAAATCACAGCCGTGGCACCTCGGAGGCTCAGCTCTTCGGCAGCCTTCCCTCCAGTGAGGTAGTGTCTGCTGTTAGGGATTGATGCAGTCATTACGTCACCTCAGTCTGCCTCGTGCAACCAGGCGCTGTGTACTTGGAATGTAAATATAGTTATTCTGAGGAGGCATGATTACACATTCAACGAAAACTTTAAAGGCACACACAGGCCTGTTCTGACTGCAAATGAGGCTCAGCTGATCCGGCCTGTTTTTGTTACTGCAGCCAACTGTATATTTCAGCTTTAATTTCAGTTTTTTTATTATTTATTATTTATCATAAATACTGAGATCCTGCAGGTGATGTACCAGCCTGTAAGAGCTCCACTGCAACAGCCTGTAACAGCTCCAGTGTAACAGCCTCTAACAGCCTATAACAGACTGTAACAACTTCATTGTAACAACCTTTTAACAGCCCCAATGTACCAGCCTGTAAGAGCTCCACTGTAACAGCCTGTAACAGCCCCACTACAGCCTGAACAGCTCCACTGTAACAGCCTGTAACAGCCTGTAACAACTTCACCATAACAACCTTTAACAGCCTCAATGTAACAGCTTGTAAGAGCTCCACTGAAACAGCCTGAAACTGCTACACTGTAACAGCCTCTAACAGCTCCATGGCAACAGCCGGCAACAGCTCCATGGCAACAGCCTGTAACAGCTCCACTGTAACGGCCTGTAAGAGTTTCACTGTAACATTCTGTAACAACTTCACTGTAGCAAACCATAATAGCCCCATTGTAACAGCCTGTAACAGCCCCACTTAAACTTCCTGTAACAGCCCCACACTGAAACCACACTATTCTTAGTCATGTATATGCATTACCGACTGCTGAAGTATCTAGTTTCACACTAGAGTCATGAAATCATCAATTTCCAGACATGTACAAAAAAAGTTGATAAATTGCGTTCTCCTTTTTAACAGAAATCTATAGATATCAGCAATTAATATTGACATTTGTAGAAAATATAGAGGGAAATTGCAGTTTAGATTGAAGAGGAAGATTCCCACTGACTCTGGTGATCCCCTGACTTTTCCTCTAGCGGCAATATGACGTTGACATTTTTAGGTTTGAGTGAAATATTTGATGGATTGGTCTAAATTTTGCTCAATATATTAAAGGTCACTAGAGGATAAACTCTAGACTTTGGTGCCTCAGCTGTCTGTTAGCATGCTAACACGCTCTACTGAGAGAGTGAAAATGTTAAACACAGCTGCTAAAAATCAGAAAACTGACATTGTCACTGTTGCCATTTTACAGTGCTGACTGTGTTCTGACCATGTAAACAGCAGAGATACGCTGTTCACTTCACAAAGTAATCTAACAGGTGTGTGTGCTGGCGTGTTTGTGAATGACCAACGCAGCGTCCTACAGGAAGAGGTTGCATTGTGGCAAAGGTTGAGTCAAGTTGAACTTATTTTTCTGGGACAAGCCTGTGTTGTTTTGCCGGAGGTCTCTCTGCATTGGCATTCCCCGCTGCGTCGCCGGACTGGTCTCCTGCAAATAAATGAGGCCTGTCTTTATTCAAACACGACTAAAGTCTGTCTGAACGCTGCCTGAGTGTTATTAGAAGTTGTTTTTTTTTTTTTTTCTGAGAAACGGCATTGGATTTGTTAAACAAGGTCACAGTGAGTCTGGAAATGTAGTAGTCAAAAACATAATTCAACTTCATGAAGAACTTTACTAGGACAGTAAAGATGGCGACGTCATTACTACGATTAGACAGTCTTTATGGTAGATTTTTCTTCTTAGTTTCACTGTTGTTTAAATTTGCTCCTGCAGATGTTCCCAGTTGTTTTTGGGATCAGGAATGAGGTCCTTTCTGCTCTACTTCCTCTCAGTACTAATGTCGCACCAATTCAATAACTAAGATCTGTGGTGACATCTCTTAAAAAGAAGTCTGGCAGGTCAAGAAACGGCCTTAGTCTAACTGTGAACACAGTGTTACCATAACCAATAAAAATGATGTCTAAAACTGCACAAACCCTAGCTGTAATTAACCAGAATCACACTCGGAGCAATTCTTATGTATATTATATTACAGGTCTTTCTGAGTTGATTTAAAGTCACTACATCAGCTTTAATTAAAGGGCTCACAACTACCCTTTGGAAGGGCCAGTGCAAGATTTTCTTGATGGATGAAAAACCTTGGCATGGGGATGTTCTGGTCTCTGCCGTGCCCAGTGTGAATGTGGACTGCTGAGTTTGAAAGCCGTCTGATCCACGGCCTTTCTGTGTTGTGATCTGCAGGACTTGTATTCAATCACTTCTCAGGCAATACATGGCTCAAGTGGCCATTTCCCATGGAGAACAGTTTTCTTCCGAGGAAATGGCCATCCCATGCTGACAGAGGTTTAATCTTCGGGACATCATGGGCGGATTAAGATGATGGAGCACATCAAACAGTTGGAAACGGAGATACTTCACACAAAACTGGTCCTGGGGGATCAGACAGCTGCACATCACTTCCTTTCCAGTGGTGGCCACATAGTCATGGAGCGCACAGAGTTTCAAAAATACCGGCTCTGAGATTTGATTTTTTTTTTTTTTTTTTGTTTAAGTTTCGTGGTCAGTTGTTTTGACACAGTATTGTTTCCAGTTTTCTGGCTTGTTAAAAAGTCTGATCTCTCTACAGCACATTGCCACTGTTTTCTCAGTGGGTTCCCCTGACTGCTGTTACATCCCCCACTAAAGTGTTGTGTCTGATGGAAGAGTTCTTCCACACAGAAAGTCGAAGTTTTCTTTAAGTCTCTGTGCCGGCGTCAGGGATCCGTTCGTCCCATTCTCTCGTGAACGCATCTCACTAACACCTTGAGGGCACAAACGTTCACCTGGACTCCAGCATGAAATCATTAGAATTTGGTGGTGAAAGGTCAAAGTGTTCACTACACACTACTAATATAGTACTACTAATAAGTGGAAAACAAACTTCTTTAATGCTCGTGCCAACACAAAAGCATGTGGATATAAGTTTGTGTGTACTACATCATACTTGTCCCTCCTTTATGGTTTGGTGAAACTTCGTCGTATGTTTGTCATCGTCATGTTTTCTGTTGCATTCAGGGTTTGCTGACCTCTGGAGTGGAGTTTGAATCTCTGCCTGCTGCGCTGTCCCTGCCCGCGGAGTCCGGCCTGTACCCCGTCACTCTGGTTGGCGCCCCGCGCACGGCCGGAAACATCACTGTCAACGGTGAGTCCAGCTGAAAACACATAATAATTGAGCCGTGCCTCGATCCCTAACATTAGGCTCGTCTCACGTACTCCGTCATATCATCCCCGAACCCAGGTTACCACACGTCGGTGTTCGGCGTGACCAGTGATTGCCTGCTGGAGGGCCTGCCTAGTGTGAAGACTGGTGGCTGTTTGGTGGAGGTCATTCCCTCCCTGCCTCGCCTCCAGCTCAGCACATCTCTACCACGGTCAGAAACTCTCTGCTCTTGTATGATGTAGTGACATCTAACATCTGCTGTTTTTCTTTTTTCATGACTGTTGTGGGTGAAACAAAACATGGAGGCATTTTCTCTCACTGGCTGGACTGCGCTACAGGTCGTAAGATAACAGATGTTTCGCAACATCTGGGATGAACACAATTTGACGAACTAGTGAAGCAGATCATTTAACAAGTTTACACTGCAATCCAAAGGCCGGAGGACAGATTTCTCTTTACTTAAAGATATTGAATCGAGACAATCATCATAAGATTAAAGTACCGACACATTCATTTGAGGGCATTTACGTCCACACAAGATAAAAACTAACTGTGGGGATTATAACCCTTTTTACTCACGCCCTGCAATTTCACAGAACACATTTAGTTCAACTTCAATAAATATGTCATATATGATATGTGGTTTGCATGTTTGGCTTCAGTAAGTGACAACGCACGCTGAGTTAACTGAGGTCAGGTGACTCACTGTACAGACAAGAGCGTTGCTGTTCGGCCATAAAAATATTAAAAGGGCAACGAGTCCTCCTCTGCTCATCCACGATTGATGTGAACATCCTCAAACACCCTTAAAGCTGAAAGTCAGCACTTTAACCTCACAGTCATTGTGCTGGAGTGTAGAGCCAAAACAATGAAAAATGTGTCATCGTCCTTCTACTCACACACTGCACCGTACTTTAATACTCCATTTCCTGACAAGTTACAGAAGGTAACAAGGTCAGGTTATGAAATGTTTACTCACTGACTCATTGTTGAGTATCTCTCTGATTAAGATGAGAAGCTTTAAGGTGGAGTGGGATAAAAGTTACAGCTAATACAAGCTATAGTTATTCTATAGTAACACTATTGTAGTTTTATATTGAGAATAAAAACTAATTCATCCCTTAATACCGAGCAGCATTCTATACAAAGTAGCAGTGTCACTATAGACTATGTTTCTGAGGAGTGGTTTTGAAGCTCAGAGTGAGCTGCTAGACCGTCGCCATCTTGGCAGTGCCTGACTCCACCTTAATCCCGGCTAAACTTCAGCACATGCTGGTTTGTGGCAAGCATACGCTCTCCCACCTGTCACTCAAAGTGGCCACGCCCTCAATTATCTATAACTTTAAACCTTAATAAAAATTTAAACGGGTGAGTTATATAAAAATTCATTGATGTTTAACAACTTAAGTATTGCACATTTAACTCAAACACAAAAACAAAGAACACAGAGGTCACACACAAGTCTTGGATGCATAACTAATAACAATATAATAATAATATTAATGGAGCATTTCTTCCTCTGTCAGAAACGACAAGTTAAACATCAGAGCAGCAGGTGAATTTGTTTCCTCGTACACCCTGTGAAGTGAAATGAAATTTTAAAAATAGGAAACACGAGAGGAGAAATCATGGGTTATCACTACTGGATATTACTAGCAGAAAATAACAGGTAGAGTACCCTGTTGGAGTGCTGTAAATCATTTTGACAGTGGACCTGCTGCAAAATCCATTGTTTAGGTCATACCTGTAAGTACAGCACTTCAGCAGCTTTTGATGTGAAAAATCTTTTTATTCTCCTAGCGCTGAACGAGCACTGCAGCAGACATACGAAGCAAACACAATGAAAATGTAATACGCGGTCTCTTGGGTGCTCTCCTTGGGTCCACAGGTAGTAGACCTTCTGCTTTGACTTCAGTCTAACAGGTGCCTCACTGACTGCTTAGATATCTTCTTGCCTCCAGGATAACACTATAGTACTGACAGCATCTCTTCTTCACATTACTAACACCAGTGTTACACATTAGCTTCAATTATTTACAACCTTTTTAAAGCATCAGAACATAGAGCTGTGCCTTTTTGCCATGTTTTATAAAACTGTTTTACTGTCAGGGTCTAAAGGAGAGAAATATCTTCTGCCCAGAAGTTTCCCATCTTTCTTCTATCATAACTTTCAGAAATACATTCACCAAACATACATAAATGTCAGTAACATCTCAAAGAGTTATAAGAGTTTTGTGTTGACCCGCTGTCGAGCTCAGACAAAAAAGTATAGGCAGTTGGTGACTGGCATTTTAATTCTCCCCTCAGGCATAGTGTTTGTTGCATTTTAAAGTTATACATGTGCATATATAATGAGGTACGATGAAGTTGTGGAGAGCCCCCACATTGATCTTTCATAATCTTGGACATTATTCTCTTCTGCACCAGTATTTGCATCACTTTGTAAAAAACAGATGGCAGCGGCTCTTTAAAACTCTGTGAGCAGCAGCTGCAGCTCTTTCGATTTTGACAGCTGATGACAATACTTTGTTATGATGTCACTGACCGAGGCGTGGCCAGACACACAACAAGACATCCAGTTGAAACTCTCAACAGCTGATGAGCAGTTTATTGCTAAATGTGATTCAGTGTTGATTTACTTTTTAAAGGAGCTATTTGTAAGTTTTGCTATTGCCACGTGGCTAACGTTAGCATTAACAGCTACTTGCCAGTCTAGAAGAAACGCTGCGAGTCCAGCATTAAGCTTCATTCCTTTACTCACCAAGAGCTGTCGCTGGAGGTGGAAAGCAACGCCAATGTTAGCTCTTGTCTCCATCACATCTTTTCTCCTATTGAAGTTAGCATGCTAACCAGCCATAGCAAGTCACTGTAGCCTCCAATCTGCCCTGTAAGACGTGGCGCTGCTCAGAGGACGTATTATAACCTTTTGTCTCGTAAATGCAACGATGACCGGTAAAGAAAACTTACAAATGGACCCTATGAATGACTATTACATTCATTGTGCCAGGGATGCTGCTGTCAATTCTTTAGTCTCTTCGGGATTAGGTGTCATTATGAGTGAAACATTCACCCAATGAATGCAGAGATTCCAAAAAAACATTTATCATCTTCATCAAAATGTGAGGGTGGGCATTTGAAACATATGTTTTCACACATCTCTGGTTGATAAATGCCTGAAAAATTGTTCTTCAAATGATGATAAAAGTGTAATGCAAACTACATCAAACGTTTGGGTTTGATAACTTCTGAATTATTGAAAAATAAAATAAATAATAAAATCTGCTTTCTTTTATCACTGAAAACCTCTTCCTACTCTACAAACCCAAACAGGTCGGCGCACACGCCTCAGCCCATGTCCAAAGAAGAACTGTCCAGCACTGTGTCCGTCCAGCTTTTCAACGGCGAGACCCAGCAGCTGACCATCACCCTGGAGAACATCGGCTCCGAGGACATCGAGACTCTGGAACTCACCTCGAAGATCGTCAGCACCAAAGGTTCAGCCCCCGACTACCAGCATCACTACACCAATGTCGTTTTAATTCTACTTGTTAATGTTCTAAATAGTTTTCATTTCCGGGCTAAAGAAACAGGAAGTTAGTGTCAGAGGGGAAAGACCTTACAGTATGTGGGTGAATAAATAAACATAAACATAACAAACAAGGAAGCACTTGTGCACTACGCTTTACCAGGGCTATTTTAGTCAGGACAGGCTTTGATGTGCGTCATCGCTAACAGAGTTTGTGCCTCAGTGTCTTGCAGTCAACATATCCGCAGTGCCTCAGAGGTCACTACCCATTGTCTTTGGTTGTACATCTTTCATGCCCCCGTGGCTTTTCACTCTGTGTTCCATCTCTTTGTACAACACCTGCTCAGGCCCTCAGATCTCTGCAGTCCCCCTCACCCTCACTGTGTCTCTGCCTCTTGCTTTTTTTTTTTTTTTGTCTTTGTCTCACTGTCTGTGTGAAAAAAAAGAAAAGAAAAAGCCAGCCATATGTTTGGATACAGTGCACACAAAGTTTATGATGGTGGCACAAGTGTCAGAAATGTAGAAGCTATACCTTTCCTATCCTGTAGATGGCACACGTCAGTCATATATGATATTGATACCAATAGTTAAGATGAAAGATATTGTCCAATACACATTTTTGACAGGAAAGGAGCTATGTCTAAGTTTTGCTATCGGTACATAGCCCAGGTTAGCATTAACAGCTGTTTACTTACCAGTCTAGAATAAATGTTCTTGGTTCCTTTACTCGCCAAGAGCTGTCTCCAGCAGTGGAAAGACGACCTCTCATTTTGCCTCTGTTTCTATCACTTTTTTCTTCTAGTGACGTCAGCATGCTAACCAGCTAGCTCTGACCCGGTCGGACTGTCTCATCACTTTTTTGAGATACAGATTCACTGTAGTGTCCAGTCTGCCCTGAAGAAAGTAGCGCTGCTCAGAGGGCGTATTTCAACCTCTTGTCTTGTAAATGCAACAGTGGCTGAAACTCTTGGCAGGGCTCTTAAGTAAACAGTTGTTAATGCTAACACTGTTGTTTGGCTATAAAATTGTACTTCACATTGATTTTATTCAGGTACCTCTGCTTCATCCTTTTGTCCCCTGTCTTTGTGAAGCCTGTAAATGACTCCTTTAGCAAAGGTTGTTGACCTGGTATTCTCAAAACATACCTAACATACTCACTGCATACCTCACCATACTGACAAAATAGTACCAAATATCCTCTGTTTAGAAAAAAATCTGCTTTTGTTAATCACTTCCCACAGCTGCTCTCTCTGCAGAAGTTCAATCACACAGTGATGAGCAGAGGAGGAGCAGCAGTATATGTGGAATTGATCTGACATTTCCAAAGTGGCCTCTGGGTTCTGTGTTTAATTGAAGACAGACCACAATAACGCATCCTCTGTCCAGGGGTTAATGCTCATAGATCTTGTCGTACCAGGCAGCTTCTGTCACTGTCACTTTTCATGCTTTCCTCTCACAAACATGTCAAGGACTCTACACCGTGCAGAGATGACGGCGGGGGGAGGGGGCGCCTTTGGTGACCAGCCCTGATGTAGATTTTATGGCACAGTGACAGAATTACTGTGCATTTCCGTACAGAAACCCAGTCCAGCTCTTGCTCTAAGGTGAATAAGACTTGGCCTGTCAATGGTAAATAGTACAGGAGTCTAATTAAAACTAGTGTAGGGTTTGAAGACACTCATCCAGCGAACCTCTTAGAGCCTCCCTGCTTCCTGCTGGCCAGACTCCAGGGTGAAATGTAGTCTCTCTAGTTAACAAGAGGTCTCTTTGAAATGGAGGTTGTTGTGGTTGTTGGAAATGATTTAGGCTGCAAATTTGTTTTTTGAATCTTGGATGAACAACGAAAGAAAACCGACTTCTCTGGACCGGAATTAGAAAAACACCATCTGTACTTTCACTCTTTCAACAAACACTTTAAACTGAATGATTGAACTTGAACCATTTACTCTAACTAAACTTAAATCATATACTTTATTTAATCAATACAAACACAAGCAAGTGTGGAGGGAATTCAAACAGACTCATTTTTGGTGAAAAATTAAAAAGAGAAAGAAAAAAAACTGTATTAAATGGTCCAACTCAGAGGTTCAGTGATTTCATAAATGTGGATAAAATGTTAATACAGAACTGTAATTAATGTTAAAAAAAAAAAAACTGGAATAAATGAACAAAACCACAATTTTTTTCCCCCCAATTTTGCCCAAAGCTTTTGCTTCTCACGGCTCATAATGGCTACAAGGCGATAGTGAAGGGAAAGATTAAAATGAATTAAATAAACTCTTGAAAAAGTGGAAAACGGCCAAAAAGACCATCCACCCAAAAAAGCTCTTCTTTGTCTCTTTATTGATGACACGTTTTGTGATTTAATCATCATCAATAGTCAAGTATCCATTCATATGTAGTGCAGATTTTAACCACTTTTCCAGAGAACTGACTGGTAGTTGGATGCATTGAAGTTGAAGCTGATGCCATTAAACCTTTTGCAGAAGAGGAGGGTGCGACGAGATGACATAACTAAAAGCTTTCCATAAATATGGCATTTCTGTTTGTTTCATGATGTTACATCATAACTATGCATTTCAGAGCTAATATCAACAAACCAACTTATATAACTTTTCACTAATAGGGTTTCAGTACCTTGACCTGTTGTTGTTGTAGCGGACCATGAAGAGATATTCACTGAATTTGACCAAAAATGTATTAGATTAGAACCTTTAATAACTAATCACTGGGATTAAAAAGACAAGGGTGGTGATGGTTAATATCATCTTTATTCTAATGTCTTTTATTAATATTGAATAATTACCAGCCCTGTCCTTATGTTGTAACTTTATTAGTACATGCACAAACTGAAAATGACTGTTGTTAACAGTTTAGCATATTGGACATCAAAATAGTGTTTCTTTATTTTTTAACTTGTCTTTGTTGTTGTCCTTGAAGAAACTTAGCAGCCGGGTCTGGAAGCTACGATAATGTTGTTATCAGTCCTCTAGCTATCTCTACCTTTGCAGTCAGGAGTGTTTTGGCTTTTTTGGATCACAAAAACAACTTTAACACAAATATAAACCACTCTGGGTCCATTTAGCTTCGTCATTAGGATTAGGCAGTGATTATTATAAAGTATGGACATTAGAAACACGTTCATTTCAGCGTTGAAATTGCTGTTTCAAATCACAGTTTCTGCAGTTGTTTCAATTGTCTTAGTTAAACTTTTCCTTCTTTTGATCTCTGGGAATAACTGGAAATATATCACATTTCCACATCGTATCCACCCATCTCATCTCCATTCTACATCTTTTTTGTTAATGTCGCATGTATGAGCAGTGTTACCTCGGTTATTAGCGGCTATTGTTTCTTGAGATTTGTGCTTGTTTGCACAGATGGATGGAAACGATCCTCCCTCAGCAATGATTGGAGCGAGCCCAGATGTTCCACGGCAGACAGTGTCATGATTTAAGAAAATAGTTTTTAAAATAAAGAAACAACATGTCCCATATTAGAGATTACAAGAGTATAGATCTGTGGTTGTGAGGTGCCATTTTCGTTTATCGTTTTAATAAAAGAGACGACGTAAATAGATGTGAGACTACACAGTCTAATTGAAACTCTTGTCTGCTGCAGCATACAGTACATATCTGCTGTGTAACCCACACGACGCAAAATGTCACTTTGGCCCATTTAAACATCGCTGTGCTCCTTACACTTCAATACCACTGCGAACAACACACTGTCTGCCCATGGCTTGCAAGCTACAGCGCAAGTTTGTTTACTGTGTCTCTGTTCCCCTGCCAGCTGCTGTCAATCAAACCCAGACACTGACACGCCCCTCCGGCAGCTCAGAGTAAAAGGAGTATGTATTCTGATATTCCCCCAAAGACCCCTGTTTCTTCTATTTAATGGTAAATGGACTGCACTTATACAGCGTGTTTCTGTCCGACACACACACCAGTGATACGGTGGTGGCAGTTTGAGGTCCAGCTTGGGAATCGAACCAGCAACCTTTTGATTAATTGACAGTCAACATTATTTTGGAAATAACGTTTGAATGCTACTCAAGAGGCCTGTAAACAGTCCACTCTGTACCACCTCAACAGCAAGACACCAGAACCTGAGGGTGTGTGTGTGTGTGTGTGTGTGTGTGTGTGTGTGTGTATGGAAAGATTTTGCATTGGGAAGAGAAGGAGGAGGGAGGGTAAAGTATAAACCTTTTATCAACTTGTCTTTCAGAGTCATTGCATCCAGTCAGTTTCAGGATCCAGATGTGACACAGAGCTGCTCTATTAATACTATGTTCCCACCAGATCTGTTGTAGCCAATATCCTTAAATCAACATGTTGATCGTATTTGTACCGTCCCCTTGTTCAACACATTATGGAAGCGGTGTTCATAGCAGAGCCTCAGCGTGTTTTATACTAACAACAGTGACCCCTGGATAGCTGTATTTGCAGAGTATTGTTCCCAGTTTGTTCTGTAGGCTGATAATTAGCACATATTGGAGAGTACTTCTTTCTGCACTGCAGCCACACTGCAGCTTGTGTGTCTCCTGCCTCTGTTAGACTTTGCAAAAGGTTTGCAATTGGTGTAAAAGGGTGTCCTAAGTTTTCATCGTTGAATAACACGATCTAACTCTGTCCCGGTGTTAATTGATGGAGTCTTTGTGAACACTCTCAGGTGTCAGAAAGTGATAGTTTAGCCTAAGCACACATATCTGCTCAGAGGGAGAACAGCCTGGTGGGCTGCGTGATACAACGTGACCTGCTAATTGCATTGCAGTGCAATTGATCATCCGGTTCCTTTCCGTGTGAAACTTCATCTCTTGTGTTGCCGTAATTTTCTGAAACTGCTGCGGTTTCAACTGAAGTGGTTTTAAATAAGATCAGCGCTTGAAGAAAGTACCACATTTTAATGAATATGTATTTTTAATCTGGTCAATCAGATTTTTACTGGTGTTTCACCACCTCATTCTAT